TATATATATATATGATTTATTTTAAACATTTGTATTTCCTAAACATTTGTTTGTTTTTATTACTTAAAGATAGATGAGTAAGCACAAAGTGTGAACCTGAGAAACCTATGGACGTCCAGTAACTTTAAAAGCTTCGGTGAAATCAAATTACTTTAAGAATTTAAGTGTTTGTTCAATTTTGGTTTTTTTGCTAGCTGACAAAGTTTTCATCTGACATTTCTGAGATTATTACATTGACAACATATTTTTGATAGATTCTCACAGTTTTTGTATGATTTGTACAGGTTTTCTTTTTAACGTGTTAATTTTTCTTAACCTTTAAAAATAATTTTGAACACTTTTTTTTTCCTTATACAAGCCTGACCACTGTAAAATTAATCTCCAAATAAATGAGGGAGTAATTCTGATCTTATAGGTAATAGTTGAGTTTTCCCATTTTCATTACAAAAAGAAAATTTTAAATCTTGTGTAGGCGAATAAAAAAAATGTACTTTTAATAAAATGATCTACTTGCTGCAGTAGTTTTATACAGTCAGACTGAATGCACAAGCTGACTTTTTTTAAATGTCAGAATTTACTTTTAGAGTGAGACATTATAGATGTCCGTAATGGAAACAACGTTCTGGAAGTTGAATTATAAGGAACCGAGCACAATCAAGAACCACTGGGCCCTTTGAAGTGAGGTGGACAGATTGTATTGAAGCCACCGGCTGTAATAATCAGCATCTTTGTCGCTCTGCAGTGGAAAGAGCAGCATTCAGCAGCAGGGAGGACGAGAGAAGCTGAGCTGCAGGGAGGAAACAAAGATCTGAAAACGTTCCCCAGAAATGCCAAGAAAAAATCATGAAAAACCAACTATCTGTTTGGACAGTTATGTTAATAAGATTAAAGCAGTTTTAACTTGCTGAATGGGAAAAAAAGTTTTAAAGCATTTTGTTTGCATAGTCAGAATTGTCTCGTCTTTTTTTTTTTTTTTACACAAAAATATAATTTATAAAACTGGAAAAATGTTTATTGGCACCAAATGGTCATCACTGGAAATTGTGATTACCATATTTTCTGCCATACACGTTGCACCGCCGTATAACTGCCGTTGCGCCAACGCCACCCGTTTTCTGGAATATCTTGCCAAAAGATCTGAACCTCTTGATCTTGACCTCTCTAAGTGACTTTAAAACCCTGTTAAGTATCTGGCAAAAGCCAATGCAGACATGTTCCTGCTTTTAGTTTTCTAAATCGCCGTGTGATCTAACTGTTTTTTGCTGCTATTCCTCTTGATTATCCTTTTGGTTGCTATTTTGCTTATTTTTAATAAGTTGCTTCGTCGTATTAGTCGCATCTATTATGCGTCACCGCTGACGCCTCGCGTTTGTTATGCGTCACCGCTGACCACCCGGAACTGTGGGCCGGTGTTGTGCCAAAAATCGATTGTCTGCCAAAACGGTGGCCGCAGGAGCGAGCACTGCAGGAATTTAACAAGAATTTAACAAGATTAACACTTAAAAACAATTATTTGTTTGCTTGAAATTATAGCAAAAGTGTGTCTGTTGAACCTTTCCTTTATAAATGCACTTTAATGGTCAAATCAGCTGCATTTAAAAAATCGATTTGCGGCTGCTGGAGCGAGCAGAGGGAGGACTCGCTGTGCATTTCTTTGAAATTTAACAAGATAAGCACCTAAAAACAATTATTTGTTTGCTCAACATTAAAGCAAAGGTGTGTCTCAGTTGAACTTTTGCTTAATAAATGCACTTTAATGGTCAAATCAGCAGCATTTCGCCTGGGCGGCACTGCAAAATGCATCAGATTTGACGTTTGCTCCAGGAGTTCCGGAGCGAGACGAAGGTGGCTTGGTATGACAAGCCAAGAGTCTCTTTAATAAAATAGTCTCTTTTACCTATTAATGAGACACTTGGCTTGCCATACCACTCGAGGGCCCTCTAATGGCTGCAAATGTAATGTTCATTCATTCATTCAACCTTTATTTAGGCAGGTAAATCCCAATGAGCCTCGAGGACTCATTTACAAGAGAAACCTGAATGTTTAACATTTTTCATGTTAGAATGAATGAAATCATCAGATATCAGCCAAAAATTGGGTTATAAATATGGGGAAAAAAACATATATTAGTCACTTAGGTGTATAAGTCGCAGGACTCGCAAATTTATGCAAAAAGGTGCGACTTATACACTGGAAAATACAGTAAGTACTTTTGACCAAAATGAATAATCTTCCTTGGAATTGTGTAATAAAGCAGCACTTGGCGTGTTTTTTGTGGCTACCTTTAAATCTCTGTAACACAGTTTAGACTGAAGCAATTTTTAATTAAATCCAATAGTTCACAACATGCCTTTTCCAAAAAAAAAAAAAAATCATGAGTTTGTTAAAATCTTACCTGTTTGGTTTTATCCATTGCTTTTAAAATGGCAATGTTCAGACTCTCCAGAGCTGAAAGAACATTTAGATATTCCCCGAGATGCTGAGAAAAGTAATCTAATGGAACAAAAAGGATGGTAAGCTTAACTGAAGGGACAGAACAAACTCACACATGTTCAAAAGACATATTCCAATAAAATCAGATTGTGATAAGTGAGATTATCCAAACAAGTAGACACAAGTGCTTTAATTTATTAACAAATGGAAGTGTTAGACGTCTGTGACAGCGTTCTCTATATTAAGTTTTGTAGTGAAAACTGTTAAACTAAGCATTGTGAAAGAGTTATTAGGTTTGTAATTATTTTAAAGTACTTTACTATTAAGATCAGATCAGAAAATAATTTGTAAATTGTAACCAGAAAATACACACACAAAAGAATATAGTATTGTCTTATAATGAAGAATGGTGAGAAATAGTGTTTTTAAACTCCAACAATGCATCAAGGAGATATTTGTTTGGGTATTATTTTCTAAAGAATAAGTTAGTTTTAATCTAATGAAAGAATACATTCAAGGTTGATGCATCTGCTCTTTAAACGCTCGTTCTTATATCTCACTGAAATTGCCTTTAAAATAGCAAAACACTTTAACACAGCTTAATGAATGAAACAAGTTCAGAGACTCGAGATAAAAAATAAAAACAACTTTCTGCTGTGGAAAACTGGCAACATTTTTATGTCAAATGAAAAAAGCAGCCATTTCTATTTGATTAATTATGCAAAAGGTTTATTCTGGGCAAAGCTGGCAGTTACCAGTCTGCGACCCAATTCTTTATTTTATTCAGGACATATGACTTATACTCCATTTTAAGATAATAAGACAAAAAGAGGACAGCTGCCTCCATATTGACTGATGGAGTCAACAGTGCTGGTGGACCTAATCAGTTCTAGTGCATTATGAAATGAACAAATTCTCCAACTTTGGCTAACGTCCTCTTTCTATGGATGAAAATAGATTACCAGCACTTTGACACTAATATTGTATTCAAGAGACCACCGGGACGGGGCGGAGTTAGCATATCATAAACTGTAACTATTGAAATGGCCACCTGGCTCTTTGCAGAGTAAACAAGTCTGGCACCATCTCAAACATGGATGCATGTGAAATTGTCAAAAAAGAAGAAGAAAAAAATAGCCTTGCAGAAATTCCTGTCTTTTGACACATCCCTTTACATCACACAGAGCACTCTTCCACCAACCTGATAGCTTGTCAGTGTCCAGATTGCTGCCGGGCAGAACACAAGAGAAGATGAGGAAAGTTAATTAGGGAGACTCAAAGACGAGCTGCTCTTCATTTCTGCTCGAGAGCTCTTTTTGGCTCATAAAGGTGTTGCAGTATTATCCAGAGGAAGACGCAAAACTTCACTGTAGAAACCATAAAGACCAATTATAGTTGTATCCACACATGCTATCGCTGGAGAAATTCTGCTAATAAGTTCATGTGTCTTTGTCACTCTCGACACGCTGGTTTCTCAACACAATTGACACAATCTTCTTGACGAGAAGACAGGGTGAAGGAGAACCCTCTTGTCTGGACGAAGCACTTCCTGCTGGATATATGATGGATTCCTGGGGTTAGTGGAAGATCAGTACTGTCGGTCGAGGATGTTGAAGACGGATACATAATTGGATTTATGATAGCAGGATTTCTGCTCTTTGGCGTTGGTGGTTACCTGTTTTATCCACAAATGCGGAAAATATTGGCAGCCATTCTGGCCTTGGTAAAACTGCCCGGCTTATATGAAGGAATGTACCGAGCGATAAGCACTCAGACACAGATGCTGTATGAGCTGAACCATAAGCTGGATGCGATTTCTGAGAATCACCGGCCACTTGTGGCTCCTAGAACTCACTGGCAGGAAGGAATCGACCTTGGAGAAAGCTACAAGCTCGGTCCGGCAGTGTGACCACAAGGCTGTTTGGAATTACCACTGAAGACGTACTAGTAGAACTATGTAAGGCAGACATGAAATCAAGCAGAGTCTGCAGACACAAAATAATTGTTATCTAAATCTACTTTGTAGTTTCCTCCACTGGCCTTGAATTGGTCAACTATCACAATGTTCTGGTTGTCTATGTGAATGAGAAGCTCTGCTCCCCCCCGCTCCCCTCCCAAAGACATCTGTGGACCTTTTATGTCAGGACTGTGGAGCTTCTGGAAGTGTCCTCGGACAAACCCACTGTTCTCAACAGCCCTATACATACATAAATGTATTATAATGTCATCAACATGTGCTATTCCATGTGCTGAGGTCTCTTTTTGCGACTCTCACAATGTGTCCTGTAGGATGCAATGCAAGATTTGATTTTTTTTTTTACCTCCTCTCCCCTCGTGTTTCTTATTTCTTGTCTGTAAAACGGGTTGTGCCTCCCGAGGCCAGCGACCTCAATCACCTCCGTCTCCCCCATGTCTGTTGTTGTTATGTTCTCTTAGACGGCTGTAAATGAAATGCAATTTTGTTGTGCCCCAGTGCAATGACAATAAAGTTGATTCTGATTTAAAAGGTGTCACCATTTAATCTAAAGAAGGTCTACATCATCAACTTCTTAAGTCTGTGCGTCAAAATTATACTATTCTTTAATTGCAGTCAATGACCGCACAAAGCACACCAAGGGCCGCAAATGGCCCTCGGGCCACACTTTGGACGCCCCTGATTTAGAGCAATTAATTTTTACTGCAGCTGAACTTCATATTGACTCTAATTATGCACTGAAACACACACAAGTGCACTGTGCATGCTAGATTATGGCTGTTTAGACTTCTCATGGTTTTATTTTTTTCTCTGAGCTTAGGTGCAGAATTTGACAGTTGAATCTAAATACCTTGTTTAGAATTCCAGTGTTGCAAAGAGGGCAAGAAGGAGTAAAGTCACAAAAATTGTCTCATGAATGCAAATTCTGTGTCCGCCAAAGACAATAAAGACAAAAGAATGAAAACTTAATACCCTTGCCTCCCGTTTGACCTAACAGTGGAGAAAAAGTATTTTCCTCCATCGCTGCTGTGAGTTCGCTGTTCTCTGCAGAGACTGATTTCTGCACCCACCCTCAGGCTCATTTCTTTCATTGCAATTTCAGTGGAAGTTAGTTTTTGATGTGGCTGGTGAAGTCAACGGTATTTTTTTTTTATGTTCAAATGGGGTAGAGGCTGATATTAGTTCATCCGGCTATAGACTTAAGTTTCTGGGGTCATTTCTACTGAAAACTTTCCTCAAACTTTGAGACATTTTTGCCTCTAACTGATGATTTGAGGAGAAATATATTGATTCAGCATCTTGATCTGAAACTTCAAATGAAATAAACTCACTTATTCTGTCGGTTATCTATGGAGAGAAAGAGCTCCTGCAGCTCCTCGGTGGTCAGGATTCCATCGGCAAAGTAAGCATTGAACTCATCAAACGACAACTTCCCATCATCTGAAAAACATACAGTAGAGACTTTTATTTTGATGGAAGAAGAAAAGAAATCTCTAGTGTATCACCAGCCTCACATTTTATAATAGGGTATATTTTTCCTCATAATTTAGACTTTATACACAATCTAAGTTCCAGCCCAGTGTTTTTTATCTTTTCTTTCCAGCTATTCTGTTGTGTCATTTGTGTTAAACAAATGTCCTTGAAAAAATATTTAGATGATAATTACTACCAAATTTCAGAAAAACAAGTACCGGTATGCATCTATACTGGGACACAAATATTCTCTTTGATTTAGGCTGGTTGCAAAGCATACGTTTCATTTTGAAAAAAAAATAAAAATAAAATAATTATGTTTTTATATACACACTCTCTATATACACATGAAACAAAAAAACAAATCAACACAAATATAATAATATACAAAATACAAAATAGAAATAAAGACCCAACTTTCCTTGAAGGAAAGCGTATGACCAGCTGGTTTTCATGCCACGGTTTTAAACAAAGATTATGTTCTGTGGAGAAATTACTAAATAAACCTAGAAAATACAATTATGCACAATCTTGTGTATGTCTCACATGATTTTGCCTGATCTCTTTGTGCAAGGAGTATGAGGTGTTAAATACTCTCAGCTACTACCACATATATTTTAGTTCAATACGTGTAAACGTCATTGAGTTACAGCTGTTTTAGTTAAGACAAAGGTTTAGTTTTGGCAGGTCTTTTGAATTCGACTGACTCCAAAAGTTAAGAAGTTGAAAGGCTCAACAGACAGTATTTTGTTTCCTCTGAGAGTCATATTGAAATCCATCCAGTGGTTTATGTGACATTTTGCTAAGAGTGAACAAGGTTCACTCACTGATAATATAAGGCTTTAAGAAAAGATGCTTCTCAAAGTACTGTATATGTTGAGGACCATCCTCAGCTACTACTAGACCAAACTTTAGCTCAATATCTGCAAGACAGACAGAGTTTTAGCAATCTTTGTGTTTTCTAAAATGAGCTGTTACATCCACTGATTTAGGGGTTCTCTTACTAGAGGACAGCCTTTCTCCTCTTTTGTTTGTTTGCAGGCCTGCTGTGTCACCACGCTGCACACCTGGAATCACTTCCTCCTCATCAGTGGACTGCATAAAAGCGTCAGCGATTCCTTGCATATATCCTCTTCCCCATTGGCATAGTGTAGTGGTTGACTTTGAATTTAACTCTGTGTACAAAGTATTTTAGCAGCTCCGTTCTGATATTCAGTGAACAGTTCTATTTAAGAACTTTTGCTTAGATGAAAAGTTTGATAGGGATTCTCCACCATTTTATTTTTATCAAGTTTTCTCCTGTTTTGTGGCCAGCCAGGGAGCTCAGCAACTGTACTTTTGGTTTTGTTAGATATGAGCTGATTTTGTTTTCTAGACAAGGGATGTTCTTTTTGTTTGTTTTGGCCTTGGAGACCTGAAGTTCATGACTTCCCTTCTGTCTGTAACACCTTGAACTAATAGATGACTGAATTATTTTAATGCCAAATTGGGCTGTTTTTGAGTTATTAGCTTTTTGGTTAGTTTACAATTTGTGTTACACCCTGTGCCTCCTAGACTCAGTCCAAGGTACAGGCTGGCTGTGGCAACCATCTTAAACCAAACTGACTCCAGAGGTTGATAAACTGTCAATGTTCATCTAATGATTCTTCTTTGAAAGAGAAAAAAAGAAAAAAAAAAGTTTTCCAATTTGTTCAGTGACTTGAGATATTTTGCTAACAAACCAAGTGTTCATTCCACAATTAATGACTGATTTTTAAACGGATCTTGTAGCTAGAGCTCAGTTTAAACGTCAAGGATCTAACTCGGCTACAACACATAATTTCATCTTAATATCTGTAAAACTAGTTGAGCTTTAACTATTTTTGTTTCAAATGCTTTGCCGTGGCAGCCATCTTGACTCCAAAAGTGAATCAATTGTCGATGCAATTTCTACTATCTTAAAATGTAAATATCTGCTCAGTGGTTGGAACACTGGGATTATTTTGCACTTGGCTAGTTACTTCTGAACAAAGCTTGTTTTGGCAGATGATGCAAAAGAAAAAGCAATAGCAGATGATAGATTTCTGACTTGTCATCTGTGCAGAAGTGGTTTTTTTTTTTGTTTGTTTTTTAAATGAGCATCTATCTTCAAGCACAGACAAGACAACTGAGTTGTTCTAATCCTCATGGAATGGAGCACATGAACAGATTGTGTCTACAGAAACCTGCCTGAGCCCTGACAGACTCTCAGGCAATCCGAGGTTTGCTGACAAAGGTCGGGGACTCGGTTAGTCATGTGGCAGCAGAACGAATCAAAACCATCATTGATAAGACATGAGAAAATAGACTGAACAGACGAGCAGTGTCCCCAATGGCAAATAGATCAGATGAGTCTGACTGAAATACCAAAGATTTTAATCAAAAATAGTTTATCTTTTTTTATAAATTAAGATTTTACTAACATTTTACAAACCATTCTAGCATCCATAAGGTACTTTTAGTTTTGTTTTTCCTGTAAACTTTTTTTTTAAATTGCATTAAAAAGTAAGCTTTTTCACGTCTGCATTGTTATACGTATTTGAACCAGTAAAAAGGCAGAAAAACTGCTAATGATCCCAGACCGTGCAAGAACGTAGGATGACAGTGATTTAATGTGCCAGAAAGTTTCCGTTAGCTGACTTTGCAGATCTACAAAGATGAAGGGCAAGCTTCAGGACCATCTGTTCAACCGGAGCCTCTTTGACACTTCTCATCCCCACCTCTCACCAGAATGTGTTGGTCAAAACTAAACCTGTTCAGATAATTGTCAGAACTCTTCTCAAAACCAAGTTATGGATCTCAATATTTTATCATTTTACAGTTTTTTTTATTTGTTCTGAAGGTGAATATCATAGTCCCATTTTTTTTTTTTTTTTTTATACTGACCTGTTGTTAAAATTAGATCATGCTTTTATATTAGCAGGCTTTGTTTCACCACTTGTTTGTTCTGGTTACTTATAGCTTGATACCATCTGCACTGTGGCTTATGGATTATGAAACCAAAAATCCCCACACATGTCTCTCCTCAGTGTCATATTTTGAAAAATAAAATCTATATTTGGAGTGTCAAAACAAACAGACAGCCTGCGTCTCTGAAGTGCCACTACTCCACATGATGGACAAATGATTAACACTGGTACCAGTGACAGTGCTGGGTTTAATTTTCTCATACAGGGGTGTTATTTCAACAAATGCCTAAACTTTATTTCACGTTTTAAGTGTATACCGTAATTTCCGGACTATAAGCCAATACTTTATTCAAACACTTTGAACACTGCGGCTTATACGCTGTGGCTAATTTATGGATTTTTTTATTTTTTTTTGACGGGCTAACGAGCTTCGTGCCACCATTGCATTTAGCCTCATCACACCCGAGTGCTCCATAACTGCCCAATACACATCTCTCTTGGGGGGGTGGGTCCTCGTGACTCATTGAAACTACCTGTATGAATTAAGGTAAAAAAAAAAATCAATGAAACTTTGTTTCATTGGTCCACTGGGAAGGGGTTGAACTTTGTTTCCCCATTCTCCCATTTGCTCCTCCCCGTTGTGCCCCCAGGGAAGGGGAAACTTGATGATGAAGAGGACAGCACAAGCTCATGGGCGCAGTGTACAAGAGGAAGATTTCATTTCAATTTATTTATATATAGTAGTCCCTCGTTACTCCGGACTCGCTCTATCGCGGTTTTTCAAAATAAGATTGGACATGACGCACAATTGGCTGACTGATGGATGAGCCGCACAATTGGCATGTAATTTTATTTAAAATAAATTGTTTAAAATTATTTAGCACCTGCTGCACCTTTGTGCAGCCCATACTGCAGGATAAACTTCCTGCTGCAGCTGTGGTCCATGCAGCGCGTAGACGTGGGCGTGGCCAAGAACGCTTGCAGATGGCGGAGAGCAGAGGAGGCAGGGAGCTGAAATCATGACGCTCTGTGCTCTTTAGGAGCTTTAGTTTAGAATATTGTAAGAGTGTGGGAAGGGTTTAAAATACCTTTATCTGTCTGTCTCTTGTCCTACTATTCCTACTTCGCATATTTTCACTTATGGCAAGGATTCATTCAAGGTACAGATCCCCTGCGATAAATGAGAGAATATTGTATCGCCAAGTCACAGCAGAATTAATCTCTGGGCACAAGATGAAGATGGCGATCAATGACTTCCTGGTAGGCTACTGTGTTTTTTATAAAAAAATGTAACCAGCCATATTTGTGCATGTTACCTGTACATATCTAATTAAAAGTTAAAACAAATCTTTCTCTGTAAATGTCTCATATTACAACGTGGACACCCGTGGCTTATACACAATTACGGCCTATTTATGTACTTTTTTTCCTTTTAAATTTAGTGGGCACGGCTTATATTCAGGTGCGCTCAATATTCCGGAAATCACGGTAATTTTATATTTAGTTTTAAATACTGAGTTCACATGAATCACAGAATGCACTGATCTCTTTTGTTTAAGGTCAAATTTACATTCCATTTATTTACATGACGTTTTGCAAAGTTCAAGTTCTGAAATTTTAAACATTATTTGATTGTTGGCACACGTCAGCATTTAAAGTTTGAAAGGACAGTTGGCGCTCTGATCATTGCACATGAATTGTAATGCGATAAACACGGCACTATGTTGGAATCGCTGCAGAATCAGCCGCATGACTGCACAGCAGGGATGAGCTAAAAAGGCGTTTTGGTGAATGTGCAGTTAATTAAAAAATATACACTTTCATCTACTGATGTTTGGGCTTAGATGGGTCATTTACGCCTGCAGAGTTGTAGATGAGCGACTAGCTGACACCAAAGCACCAATCCACAGTGCTATAATTATTGTCCTGTTTATTTTAAAGCAGGATCAACTTTGCTTTTAGGTTGTTGTTTTTTTTTTATTTAGATTTATAGCTACTAGTTTGTTTTTCTGAATTCCAGTGTTTGCATCCTCATATCCA